GAAGAACATTGCTGATTCTGCTCTATCCTGCATTGCGCCATCTTCAGTGGGAGCAGATTTTGGATCCTTCCTTGGGCGTGAACACCTCCATTGGGAGATATTGTTTCTCTATATCAGGTACATCCTCCCTCTTACTCCTTTTGGTTCAGATCTGGTTTGGTTCTTGATTCAATATTGATCCTTGAAAAACATGTTTTCTAAATACAGGGAATTCAATTCCCTACAAAGATGGGAGAAATTTTTGAAATTCGCCCTATCCATTCCGCAAAACTTGGGCATCCATGTGATGGATATCCCATCCCTTCACCTTGAATTCTAATAGACTGCATTCAAGAAAAGGAAGGCCCATTTGCACTTTATAAACAGTGCGTGGATAAGCACTCCGAAAGGGGGCTTAAACCTCTTTTTGGTTTGATAAAAAGTAAGAGAAAAGCAAAAAGCTGAGAGAAAAATTTTATGCTATATAGTTGGTTTGACCCAAAACATAGGAGAAAAACAGAAATTTCACAAATTTTATAAAGAAATTTTCCTCAACCTTATGTTTCTCTTTTATTTTCTTATCAAACCCAACACACCCTTAGAGAAGCGCTAACCATAATCAGGAAAATCCACTTATCAAAAAGACAAAAACCATAACCAGGGTCAGGGAAATCCATGAATTCCGAATTTCACTTGCACATCGAGGAAAGATTACCACTAGTAATAGGGCAGGCCGCAGGCGAATATCTCTTATCTTTAAGCAAGCAACTGAGTCTGACCCAATACTTGGATGATAAATTTAAGGTGATTGTATATAACCAAACGCCCAGAGAAACTACCATGGCTTCAGTTAGACACTGTTATCTGTCATGTCTCCTGCCGGAGAGGTTTCGACCACTTGGTGAGTCCAGATTTGTTTGGCAAGTTTCAGAGTAGAAAATTCCTTCAGTATCAAGTGAGAGTTATAGGTGCTTTTTATGGGTACAGCAGGAACAAAACAATCCATACTCCACGGTTCTATGAAGCACCGATGAACTCCCACTTTTATTAGTATACTAGAATATCGAACTTTCTAGTTTCTACCAGCCAACCATAAATAAAAGCAATCACCAAATGACTTTGAATCATCTAACCAATTGCACTTTGGGACTAGTGTCCACATAAATATTGGAACAATCTAATAATATAATACAGTCTAGATCAACGGTAGATGAGCCAGAAATATTTATGAAACATTATAAGACTTTTCACCATCGGAGATCCCTCAAAAGAAGGGGATGAGAAAATGCATGGAAGAGATGGAGCTCAATTTATGTAATAATACAACAACATAATGAACATTACTCATACAATCTGATTAACAATGTTGCAATAAAATTGGATGAATTATCAAAGACTGACAGTGCCATTGTCAATTCCATTAAGGCCAACCACCAATCTTCTCTTTGCAGCCTTAGTTCTGTAACACCATACTTCAAAAGCCTCACTCAGGTCAGGATATCTTACCTGCTCGGTCTGCATCCAGTCTACTAGAATATCAGCTTGGTCATTTGAAGGCAATGCCAGCACCAGGGAGACAATTGCTGCCTCGATGTTCTGGCACAAGTCTTCATCCATCTTATATGGAAAACCCATCTCCTCACTGCCCTGCAAATCTAGCAAAGGCTTCATCCTCCTTATATATGGGAGCCATATTTTTAGCAGATGGACCCTGGCCGGTGTTGGAAGAATCACATTCCCAAAGCCAACAGCATCCAACACCTTTCCAACCACCTCTATCAGCTTTACTTTCACACCCCACAGAGTGGAATCGAATTTCTTGTCTTGAATTACTGCCAAGATATTACAAGAGATCTCAACCCAGCTGGAAACAAAATCCTTCATCAGATCCATTTTAGGAAGTATGTTACACATCCAATCAAGGTCTGACAAACTTGGCAAGGCTTTAACTTCTGCTGTCTCAGATGACAAGTCAGCCTCCAGCAAGGAACCCAGCTCCTTCTCAAACGAGGAGAATATCTTGCAAAGGCATGTCCTTATCTCAGATTTTACTTCTTCATCAGCTGTGATAAATGGTGTATCTTCATCTTCCATTAACATGTATTCTACTTGTTCCCTAGCAGAAACTTTTAAGTCATCTGCAAAATGAGGGCATGGTCCACCGTTAGACGTGGCAAAGCGAATTGCAGAGAGGAAAACATTCTTAGTAGCATTTAGATCAACAGGTTGGATCCTGGCTAATATAGGCATGGCTATTGGACCTAGTCTAGAAACTACTTTCAATATCTCCTCCTCTTCCTTATCCTCCCAAGGGACAGCCTCCAAGTACTGGATGCAGCTCTGAGTGATTTCTTCACAGTGTAAAGCAACTGCTACCTGAAGAATACCAAGAGCAGTTTTGACAGAGTCCCACGAGTCCAGAAGCAAATCGTTGGAGAGATAAAGCAACTTCAAAAGCTTAACATACTGATCATATCCAAATTCTGAACATTGAACCTCAACACATTTAGTAGAATTGACTCTTGAGAGGCTATCTGCAAAAAACTTGCTCTTTTTCATAAGAATAGAGGAGTGGGCACAGAACCATTCTGGTCTCCCTTCTCTATTTCTCAAGCGAACTAATATGTCAGAAGTGCTTGGATCACCAAGTTTGTAGGCCGTGGCTACCCCGGCTTTTTCCATGTGATAAAGGGAACATAACAAGATTCATGCTTTATGTCACTAAAGGCAGATTTCCTGGGATTGATATGTAGCTGAAGAAAATGAATCCATGTTATTCCTAAAGTAAGATAAGCTAAAAAGAAAGGTGTGCAATGTTATACACACATTTGCACACACAGAAACATATTGATAGTATATGGCAGCCAGGCAGATGTATATGCATATTTTGCAAGACTATATGCCTAAATTCAGCATATAAACACATGAAAAATTCCTTGGACCTATACACACAACTTGCACACATAGAAACAGATTGAAAGTATATCAAAACCAGGCAGACATATATATGCATATTTTGCAGGACTATATACCTAAATTCAGCATATAATCACATGAAAAGTAAAGTTCCTTGGGACTACTGAAATTTGGCATATTGCTCAGGGCCGAGCCACATACTTTCACTAGGAGTTAGGGCAATAGTAAATGTAGAATCACTTTAATAGCATCTAAATACTTCATGATTATATTAGTTGTTTATCTGTTTAAGTAATTGTACTAATTCTTATATAAGTTCACTCATTGGTATGTTATTTATTTATTAATTAATTTATTTTGATAATTGAATAATATTTTATATTATCAAAAGATGGAAACTGATACAAACATCCTGAGGAGGTGTGAGGTGCAGCCACACCCTTATACAATTACATCTCAACTGGAAATTACAACACAGCCCAATAAAGAATTTCCCTAGAAGCCCCTTTTTGATATTTATTTTCTACTCTTATCAATAATTACTTTTCTAAAAGTTTCATCACTTGCATACCATCTAGATGTAGAAGTGTGTGGCACCGGGTCTAACCATTTGTATAATCTAAGGAGATACAAAATAAAGATGAAGAAAAGGAAAATCCATATAAACAAGATTACCAGTGTTAGAGAATAAAAACCTATCTAGGGACTTCATCTACCAGCTTAAGCTTTTAGGTTATTTACCCCCCCCCCCCGAAAAAAAAAAAAGCTTTTAGGTTATTTACCCCCCCCCCCCGAAAAAAAAAAAAGCTTTTAGGTTATTTACCCCCCCCCCCCGAAAAAAAAAAAAGCTTTTAGGTTATTTACCCAAAAAAAGCTTTTAGGTTGAACCATTGAACAGTTCCTTGAGATGGTATTAGAGCTTGTTTAACCAAGTGGTCTAGTGTTCGATCCTTGTCACTCCCATTATACTTAATTAAATTTCAGCACAAGGTATGGGTGGGTCTGTGCTTGTTCATGTTTCAAGCCCAATGGGCTTTCATGTGAGGGGGCGAGTTAGAGAACAAAAACCTATTCAGGGACCTCATCTACCAGCTTAAGCTTTTAGGTTGAACAGTTTCTTGAGAACCAAAACTAATTAAAATAAATAATGTGAAAATGAAAACAGTTGTAAAGCTCAAAATCAAACAATAACCAAAACATTCAATAAAAACTCTCAGTCATATCTTCAATAGTTTGAAACTTTATGCTGTTGTTAATCATTCAAATTTTATTTCTAAAATCATTATTTCTTCTATCGATATTCAAAGTTGCATGCTGAAGAGACCCAAGGTAAAGGCATACTGCCTGTTCCACTTCCATAGGGGAAAAAAACCTTAATGGAATAGTAGGTTTAGTTTTTTTTCCCCTTTCTTCTGATAGATGCAGGTTTAGTTAATACCGAGTAAAGGAAAAAGATATTTTAAGAAAATTGTTAAAAGATAATTCTGGTCAAAAGTAAAAGCCAGATGGGCATACCACATAAAATTTGAGAAATAAAAAAAGGGTAGGAATTAAACTAGATAAATGTAGGTAAGTGTTAAGCGTAGATAAATGTAGTTGATCTAAAGTTAGAATCAACTGATTTAGAACTTTACAAGAAATCAAATATACATAGGGTTTCTAGGGTTCAGGACTCCAGCACCAATATAGTATGCCATAGAATTCTAGATAATACATAATACATATGGGAAAGCCTGAGAGCAGCCACTTTTGTGCAAAACAAAATGGAAAAAAAAAGGTCAAAGGATAGGTCTGTATCCAGCCAACCCCTGACTAGACCCCAGATAGTTGGGACCAACATTGGGTAATGATTTTTTTCCGCAATATCTAAACTGATTGCACCCTTCAGTGACTTCTAACTCTTGTGCTCATGGACCACCATCCAAAAAAAGAAACAAAAACAACATAACGACCTTCCTGCAGTAGAGAGATGATTTCAAGAAAAGCACAATGGTTTAAGTACTCCTGTCCAAAGCACAGAAAAGCATTCATTGTTGTTTCACATATTTATTTATTCATTTTGATAGGTATTTTAACCATTCATCCACAGAGCCGGTTTCTGCAATTACATTTTTGGTTTTATACTTTTCTTAGCTATCAAAAAAAGATTAAGTCCCCCTCAAGGTGACCTGGTCAGTACCACATACTCTTCCGCAGTAATATTTTTATTTTGGAAAGTAAACTAGAGGACAATAAAATAGAATGGAAGTACAGGTCTAGGAAGTCCAAGTAATAAATTGTTTGTTAAAAGTTAAAACATCTAAGCATGCTAGGAATTGATCTGACTTAGAAAAGAAAAATAACAGAAAGAAACCCAAACATTTGAATGTATTGCATCAAAATTGCACTATCTACCCAAGGCCAAATACTTCAAAGTTCAAATCAAAATATGCAAGTTTTCATCAAAAAGTAAAGAACTTCATTAGATCAAATAAGCCAACTGATAATATGGACGTCAGCATGATCAATACTATAGGAAATCCTCAGAATAAGTCAGACATCTCAGAAGCCAACTGGTCCCTGCCACCCCCTCCAAAACAAACAAAAAAGGAAAACATCCTAGCAATTCCCCCAGATGAAAATTGTGGCTAGTGCATGCTTGATAACATTTTGAGCGAGTAGAGCATTCAACAAAATTGAAATGAGGTTGTCACTGATACTTTCCAGTTTGATTATGAGTTTATGATAACTAATGACCAATAACAAATTCTTAATCAGCAATTATAATAAAAAAGCATCATTAAAGGCCATGGCTCAAGCAAGGTGCCAACCAGCTGGTTGGTAAGGTCTCCTGCTGGTCGTAGCGGAGACTTGGGATCGAATTCCGCCTGCACCTGGGTTGGGAGGGTTAAGGGTTGGGGGATGGGCTACCCCCGTGTGTAGCCCTTCAAAAAAAAAACAAAAAAACAAAAAACATAAAAGGCCATGGTTCAAAGTATTGATACACCCTGGTAAGCCTGAAGGAGTGTATCAACACTTTGAGACTTGTGCATCTTTTTTTTAGTTTTTTTCAAACTTTCACAGGAGGGTTATTTTTATGTTATTTAATTATTAAAAAATAGTGTTTTTAAAAATACTTAAATACCTTAAAAAGACGTATCAGTACCCCAAAGATACAACATGAGAAAAATTACAAAGATCTCAACATTCTAATGTGGTCTAAATTCAGATGAAAACTGTAGCAAGTACATACTTGTTAACATTTTGAGGAAGTAGAGAGTCAATAAATTTGAAACAAGGCTGTCACTGGTACTTTCCACTCTGATTAAGACAAATAACAACAATAACAGTTTCGTATAAGCAATTATGATAAAAAAGTTGATAGATGATATCACTCAATCAATTATATATCATGGCTAGGGCTGTCAATGGGTTGGGTCTGAACCAATGGACCCAAACTGATTGGGCCGGTTCCGGGTCTTGATATAGGGTCCCGATTACTATCGGTTCAAAACTGGTTCCACCTAGTCCCAACCCGATGTGTGTGTGTGTGTGAATGTTTATTTTATTTATTATAATTGGGTCTGTCGAGTCGGACCCAGTTTCCTGAGAACCGATTGATTCGGTTCCGGGTCCAAAAATACAGACCCTATCGGGTGCGGGTCCTCAACATTTCATGTTGGTTTGGTTCCGGTTCCAGCTGGTTCCAACCCGTTGACAGCCTTAATCATGGCATTCAGCACTAGGAAGTAATGAATGTTTACATACAACCTAGAGTGGATCTTAGTGGCAGGTTTTCTTGCTGTTGTCAGACATTATATTCTCCAGTGCAAACTCACATGCCAACCATTTTAAAAAACTATATAATTAAAATGTGAAAATCAGAGTGATTATAGCTGCTTAGATAAGATTGGAAGATCGAAATTTGAAAGTAGCCACTTGTGGGTACTGGGTAGGGGTGATCATTTCTAGCCCAGCCTGCCCTGGCCCATAATATTATTTATATATTACATATATGTACATTGCATATACATATATACATGTTTTATTTTTTTAGGTAGAAATGTTTTATTTTATAACATATGATAAATTATATATAAATATTAAATTACACATATTATATGTCATACAATACAAGGTATTTGATGTATATATTAAATATAATATATTCAAATGACACAGGCCCAATTGCCCCAAGGCCCAGCCCATGATCACCCGCACTTGCAAGTTGTAAGCTAGGAAGGTGTCTGTTCTTGGTTTTCTGTGGGGCATTTGAAAGGACTTTAATTAATAGGTTGGCATTGTATTGCAAAATTGGTGTTATGTTGGAAGGTGTCAAGGGAGACCATTTACAGGGGAGGGATATGGATGTCTTGTTTTCTCTTGTCACTTGGTTGTGGTTTTCCTGATTTGTGATCAGGAATGATTGTATTGGGTGTCTACTATCAAGGGGTGTTTGCTGTTCATTTTTCCTTCAGGGGATTTCTTATCGCCAATATTTTCTACTTACATTTTTTTTTCATGAATTTTACCTTTACTATCAAAAAAATCCATTAAGCATCTTCTAGTATTGCCAGTTGCCTATGTTACCCAGATACAGCAAGGACACAACTGGATACAGATTTCAAAAACATATTGATGAAGCACTAAGGTTTTCAAGGGTTTCCTGCAATTGAGATTCTTTCAAATTTCAATTTCTGACACTGACAGGCATATCAATGCCTTAATTGCATAGTAGGAATGATTAATTGTTCAGTAGACCATTTTTTCAGCAAGTTTGGATCATACCATTTCCTGTCTCCTCAGTACCTTTAAGGCGGTGTTCAGTAGTGCAGAAATTTTGTGGATCACTTGGTTCTAGAACTTGCCACACCAATTGAATGTTTAAGAGTGTCATGCATTTCAAGACCATCCACAGATAGTTCAAATATGTAAAATATTAGTGTTTTTTACCCAAAATAATACAGCATATATTCATCCACACAATGGTGGCACAGAGTCAACCATGCCGCGCTTGAGGGCACCATGGAACAGATCACCCCCTAAATGGCCAAATATTCTAAAGCAGGTGAATCATTTATACACTTATTCATAAAAAACCAGAAAGAAATCATTTAATCATTTACCTATGTAAAATCCAACGCCTCATAGCAGTGTCCATCTGTATAAAAATTGTATGTATGTAAATGTGTGTCTATATGTATATCATGAAGATTAACCCTTGTGAATGAAGAAAAACCGGAACTTACAACTATTAATCCATTTCACACAAATAAGAGTGCATGTGAAAATGTTCATTGCAAATGATGGAGATTCTCCAGTATAAATTAACATGGAATCTTTTTTTCATGCTGAAGTACAAGACTTCATTAATTTAAGAAATTTCTGAAAACTCAGATGGATATAATGGTGCTGGAGATGAATTTGAGTTGTACAGGAACTTATCATGCCAAAAGTCTAGGCAATAATCTTACAAAAAAAGGAAGGGGGGGGGGTTCACTTAACTGTGGATGGATCCTAAGAGCTTTCATTATATAAGGGAAAACCCAGCCAGTAAACAAGACAGTTATAGGAATTGAGACTAAAGAAACATGAGTGTGCCAATCACGGTGTCAAATCAGAAGACTTTAAGAAATTTGTTGTCAATAAAGCTTCCAATCTTGGTCTAACAAACTGGGATACTGGGTTAAGAAACTCAATCTCCAAAACATGAATTGGACAATAAGAAACATGGGTTTCTGTAGATTATACTTAAGTGCAGAAAAGTCATCTTCATTATTTTGCACCCAAAAAGGAGGAAATTAATAATGGGAAACCCTTACAAGAAAACTTGAAGTTAAGAGATAACATGCTAAGATCTGAGAGAATGTTGAAGAAAACAAACATAGTAAGGTAACATAAAGGAATCCCCACCCCCCACCCCCAAGAAAAGAAGCAAAGCATACAAAAGCGTGTTTAAAGAAATAGAAAAAGAGAAGAAGATCCACATGAAGGGGAATATCATCTTCATCCAACAGAGCTAAGGTAATTAAAAAATTAAACATTGACATGGATGGGCAAGAAAGTTGGCATTACTTCAAGGTATTTCACATTTGAAGAATGTATTAAAAATAGTTCATTTCTCCATGGTAAGGATGACAAAGTTCAAAGAGTGAGACAAAATAGATAAGTGGCTTGAGCCAGGTAGGCTATAGCTACTGACCTGGTCAATGCGTGTGATCATATAGTTTAATAACACAATTTTTTTACCTTCCCATACAATTGCAAGGCACATTAAGTTTATATTCTCTCTTAGCATCTAATTTGTTGGCGCTTCCTTCTATAGTTTTCTTTAGTGTTATAAGTCTCAATTAGTGTAAGGTAAGTAGCATGATCTAATATTAGCAGCATCCATAGTGAAGTTACTTTTCTTTGCACAGAATATACCATACTATTCTTTATACATGAAAAAAAAAAGAAAGCAAGAAGCAGTTATCTTGCTAGAAAAGTAGAACATGTCAATAAAATTATTGCAAGAAAATGATGTTCCCCAATTTTAGAACATTTTTTTTTCTTCCGAAATGCAATTACCTTCATTTGAGGTCTGTACTCTATTGCATTATGACTAGAAGTCTAGAACCACATTTACAGAGCGGTGAGAATCTTGCCCTATCCTAGTGGTTGAATTATCCAAATTCAAATTATTACTCGGTACTTCCTACAGGATGGTTATTTGGAGATGATTCAGATTGTTTCTACTCCAGCAGAGTTTAATGAAACAAAATTGGGCAAACTTGAAATCTAGCTTGAGGAGTACCGAGTAATAATTTGAATTTGGATAATTCAACCACTAGGATAGGGCAAGATTCTCACCGCTCTGTAAATGTGGTTCTAGACTTCTAGTCATAACGCAATAGAGTACAGACCCCAAATGAAGGTAATTGCATTTCGGAAGAAAAAAAAAAATGCATCTACTCTTTCAAACGTGCTACTCTAGGTCAATGCTATCAATTTTGTCTAGTTATAGTTATGAAATAGCAAATATGTGGGAACCCATGCCTGGAAAGCAAAGCGAAACTTGTGCAACCCTGTTTTTTCAGTTATGTGATTGTTATGAAATCCTCCATTTACCAACTAAGTTTAGAAAAGAACTCCAAAACCAGTGAATACATCCGCAACATTAAATGGATATTCATTTCAGTACCTAAACTGCTAATTTCTCATGATACTGCATCAATTTCAGCATCTACTAGTTTGGTGAACAAAGAGGCGTTTCTGTTATTGCAGATCCATTCTTATTTGCTGTGTTACTTACAGAAGTCTCAAAGCTAAGATCTTTAAGCACGAAAATAACTAAAATAAAAGGAAAGAACTCAGATAGTGAAGATCAAATTAATGAGTCATGGCCGACTATTCACAAATCCAGAAGGGAAAATGGACTCAAAAACAATAGAGATTGATAGGTCAAACAGAAAAGCTCGTACCTGTAAGCAAGGCGATGAATAACCTCCAAGGGAAGGGATCTTGACAGGAGACCATTAGAATGTGCAGAAAAGAGACCTAGAAATATTCCCCAAACCAGATGCAGAGAACAAAAAGGCAGAGGAGCAAAAAGAGAGACGATTAGAGAGGAGGGGCCGAAGCTCCCGAAAGAAATCTAACCGTCCATTTTATGTTAGCGGTGTTCTTATCATCCGACCAGATTTAAAATGTCATCATGATGACGGTGCATTCGGACAGGACCACGTTGTATCATCATCACCAGGGGTGCAATTCGGGCGGGTTGGATCGGGTTGAGGCCACGCCCCTACCCTAACACAGTAACACTCGAACCTCGGATTAGGGCCTGACCCAATCCAAGGTCAAGGCTGGGTTTGAGTAACCGTTTTAGAGGGCTTTCGGACGCGGCTTATGGGGTTTCTAGCTGAGCCCTATTAGAAATTGGGTTTGATAAAAGTTCGGTAACGCCCAACCACTGCTCAAATACGCACCCCAAATGCAGAAGTCCACCCAAACAATTCTCGATTAGCAAATGAGCCTATATGTTAGGGTCAAGTTCAGTTTAAATCGAGTTAATATGAGCTTTTTACAAGCCCAATTTAAATAATTTGTGAGAAGCTGAAGTCATGGCCACACCTCTAACTGTAGTGATTAAGATGTATTGTGTGAATTTAGGGATGGCAATTTCTACCACCCTACTCGGTGGATATCCGCCCAAATATATATATATACTTTGGGTCTGGTAAGGGTAATGTACGGTATTAGGCTAAATTTGATCCTCCCCACCTGCATTTTGTTGGAATTTGGAAAGTATATGAAATTTTTGTATTAGGTATTTAGGTGTTAAATTTATTAATATTTTGTATATATCTTAATCAAATAATTTGAAATTTTAATGTTTGTTCATGTTACCTTATTTATTTATTGCTTATATATAATAAGAAATTAGATGCGGATTCAACCCAGCCTACTATACTGTTAATGTAGTGAGGGTAGGATCAAGGAGGCTTTTTGCATTTTTATGTGCAGGGAAAGCTTGAATTCTAAAAATCCAACTTGCTATGGATTTTGGCATAGGTACCAGTTGGGAGGTTTAAGGAGATGGGTTGGTTTAGAATTTACAAAACCCTCTTGTCATCCTTATGTGAACTGCTTTCAAAGAATCTACATGAGATAGCTTAACCAAAAAGCCAAATTTGTAGCTAATGTAATCCTATTTGCCTTTTCGGACGTTTACCAAATAGACTTCATGGCATTTCGGGATTTTCAGCTCATCTAACGCCTGAAGCTGCTATGCGAAAACCCTCCCAAATGGGTTATTAACCTAGGCCCAACCTTAATTCAATTTGGGTTAGATTATATATTCATTAATTGACACGTGAACCACTACATGTAAGAGGGAATATCTTGTTCTCTAGAGTTAACTATAATTCTAAGGGGGTGTTCTTTTTTTGGATTTTGAGAGGGGGGAAAGTTAGTCATAGGATTTTGGTTCCCATTGACCAAGAATCCCATGTTCTTTTTTCAACTTTATCTGGGGGCGAGGGAAAGTTTATTTTCCTAGGTATCACTTACCTAGGAAAATGATACACATCTCCTAGGTGTGTAAATAACTTTCCCACATAGAGGAAAAGTTGGGAACACTCGAATGGGACAAAAATGCCCCTTTTAATAATGAATTTTTATGGCTAAAATGGTCATTACCTTATTTACATGAGAAATTAAAGAACATGGGTAAGTGCACTTATCCAAGTAAGTGTTTCCCAGGAAAAGCTTACCCAAGTAACTGCATTTACCTGTGTAAGTAACTATCGGAAAAACGAACAGGGCCTCCCAAAGTCCAAGTCAGCATAGACTATAACTCTTATCATAGGTGCTAAGTTTAACTCAGCCCAACCTGTGATCACCACCCCTAGTGACTAGTGTGTTGTTATATATTTAGGCTCAGTTTGGAAAGAATAAAAATGTAAATATGTACAATGTAAATACACACAAAATAATATAAAATACAAGGTTTTGCACTTTACATATTTGTATTTGTACTTCTTTCAAACTGAGCCTTATTAAAGAATAAATTATAGACTACCACTTGTAATCCCATACTTTGGGAGTAGCAACACTTGCCTCCCTGAACTTTCATTTGTGACAAAGACCCATTTTGAACATTTTGACTCTAGTACTTTGCTCATGCCATTATAATATATATATATATATATATATATATATAGAAAACACTAAAATGCAATAAAAAGGAAATTAATAAAATACAATAAAAGCACATAAAATTGCATCAAGCCCATTAAGGCATAAGGCAGAGGCAAAGTGCTGGGATCTGAAAGTGTGGGTGGGTTTTTCTCACAAATGAAAGTTTGTTGATTATTGTTACTACGAAAGGTAAAGTGTAGGTTTTAGAAGGATCAAACAAGGTTTCAGTTCAGATAGGGTAAAATATTTAAACTACCCTTAAGTTTTAAGAAATAGACTAAAAATTATCCCACACTTTAAAAAATTATTTAAACTATTCCTAAGTTTTTATGACAATTGACATGATTATTAAGCATTGACTGAATCACTGAAATAATAAAATATCGAATTTGCCTTTTATTATTTTTCAAAATTTTAAAATAAAACCTAACTGATAAAAATTTTAAAAAATGGTAAGATTGGGTAAAAGAATATGAAGAAGGAGGGCCCCACTTATAACCAACCTGGTTCAACCATAGCCATCTCCAATCTTCTGTTGTACAGTAGCAATTAATATGGCTTTCACCAAAGTCCTCAAGCATTACTAGGGGTGGCCACGAGCCGAGATCAAATAGGTACATATATACAACAATAATAATAATAATAATAATAATATGTAATAAAAATATTATATATAATGTTTTTATTTTTATATATAATAATAACTAATTATTATAATTCTTAATTTTTTAAATATCAAATAAAAAAATATTATATATATTTATTTTTATAAAATATTTTTTCTCAAGTCGAGCTCGAACTTATGAACTTTTGATTCGAGTCGAGTTCAAGCTCAAGGTTCTAGCTCGAACCGAGCTCGAGTCTTGTACTACCTTGGCAAGCCAAACTCGAGCCTTGTATTATTCGGTTCGGCTCGTCTCGAATCCACCCCTAAGCACTACAAACGTAGGCTTTACATCTGGTCGCCTTGCAAGGCGTTTCTCCACTCTGAGTTTTCAGCACTTAAGTGTGCCACAAGCAAGCTGTCTCGTCACCTAGCCAAGGCAGCTATTTTGCCTAGAAATTACTTTATGGCGACCAACCATTTCTCATTGTGGTTCGACCCATTTGAACATCTCTGTTTTGAAAATCTATATCCTCCTTAATCCTTTCTGTTGGTGCGAATAAAGTTCTCTTTTACCAAAAAAAGTCATCCTGACTCCATTCACATGGTGTCTTGAATTTATTTCTAACCCGGATTTAGAAGGTGTTTGGTTCCATTGTATTTATTTTATTTTATTACTTTTTTTTTGCAGATTAGAGAAAATGTTTATGCATGGTGTTATTAGGTTCAATTGCCATTTTTTGAGAAAATGATGTCACGTAGGAGCCACGTCAGTCGTTTATACCCGAAAATGATTTAAGAAAATAAAAAAAATATAAAAAATGATGTTTTTAAGATGGGCTATTTTTTGAGAAAATGGCACAACATTTTTTTCTTTTTGTGAAAATATCTAACCAAACAACATATTTGATGTGTTCTTTTGATGATTTTCTCAAAATTTAATGTGACTCTGATATGAGGTTGTTTCCTCAAAACACCCAATTGAACTAAACACTACATTTAAGGGTGAACATAAGTCAAGCTTTTCATGAACTAATCGAGCTTGATTAATGAAAATCTTGATTCAACTCATCAAGTTCGAACATATAAGCTTTTGAGTCAAGCCGAATTCAAACTCATGTCTTTAGTTCAAATCAAGCCAAAAGTACCTGAGTTGGGCGGCCCCAACCCACCCAATTATTAATGGGTTGAACCCATTTATTTAGTTTTGGGTGATTGTGGGTCGGGTAGCCCAATAAACATGGTCTTTAACGGATTGGACAGTTGGGTAATGGTTAATCACCAAACCCATCAATGAGTAGAGATCAATCAATACTCAATAAGAGAAGTGGAGAAAGAGAAGAGGAAAGAATGAGCTCTAGGGTTTAGCAAAGATCAACAGATATCAATATGGCGATTCAGGCTGCCATCTCAGGTACTTTCTCTCTCTCTCTATCTATCTTTAACCTTGTCTACTACTCTACAACATGCATGGGGAAAATTTTTGACTTGTTGCATTATATCGCTGATCGCATGTAGAGTTGAGAGTTAAGTAGCCCTTATTCAATAGTTGCTTGCATTTCTCTCCATTTCTCTTGGACCTGCAACTTACATTAATTGGGCTATGAGATAAATATAGATTACCTAATTGATTGAAACTTGGACTTCTACTTCACTTTACATAACCCCAAAGCCAACAGGACATATTCTTCAACCTTCTCCAAACGGTATAAATTCAAAATGCTGACCCTTGAAATCAAAAGACCCATCCATGAACCTTTCTTGTATAAACTCTTTTGGATTCTTCCAGATTTTGGGATCCATTATTGGATCATTCACCCTCCTCTATCAATGTCAATTTAAGCTTTTCCATCCCTGGATGACCAGGGAATGTATGTCATGTCAAATTCATCTTTTGAATAGAATTTACTTGAAAATATAACTCTATTTGTTTGAAATGATGCTCATGTTGGCAAATTCATTCTGTCAAATTCACTAATGATGTGTTGATGACCTTGAAATGATGCTCCTATTGGCATTCAATTCATTTAAGCTTTGTTTGTTTGTAGTATAAATATGAATCAAATATATATATATATATATATATATATATATATATATATATATATATATATATATATTGTTACAGACTAATGTCAATGGAAAGCCATAATGATGCCAAATTCATTAGGGTCTACTTCAAGGAATAAAAGAAGATAAACTTCTGTTGTTTAAAACACTTTGATTTGTTTTATGATGAAAATGAAATTGAAAGGGCAAAATGCAAAGATTGTGATAAAACGTATAGTGCAAATGTGAGTGTTGGCGGTACATCAAATATGTTGTGTCATATAAGAATTTGTAGAGAATGTGATGAATATTCTAGGAGTTGAGTTAATAAATGTGATCAAGATGCATATAGAGAAAATATGGCAATGGCTATAATTAGACATAGATATGCATTTTCATTTGCAGAGCATGAAGTTATTAGATGTATACATTCTATTTTGAATCTGGAAGTGAAACGTATTTCATATTACATTGCAAAAACTGATGTATTAAAGATATACATTAAGGAGAAGAAAAAATTGTGGGATTTATTACAATCGCTTCCTGGTAGAATTTGTCTTACATTAGATATGTCGACTTCAATTACCACGGAATCATATATGTGCATCACTATTCATTTTGTTGATAGTGAGTGGAGGTTACAAAAACGAATTCCAAGTTTTTCTCATGTACCACCATCTCACACTGGTGTTGCAATTTTGGAGAAGGTGTCAAATGTATTAAATGGATGACAAATTAAAAATAAGTTATTTTCAATTAGTTTAGACAATGCCTGAGCCAATGATACATTTGTTAATTTGTATAGAAGGCGTTTTAACTTGAAAAATGCACTTTTATTAGATGGAAAAGTTTTCCATGTGCATTATTGTACACATATTTTGAATCTTATAGTGCAAGAAGGCTTGAAAGAAATAGATGATGTGATGCTTAAAATTAGAAAAATTGTAAAAGCTTGTTAAAGGTTCCAAGGCACGAAACCGAGATTAGTTGAATGTGCCAATCAATTGATGATTGAGAGTAAAAAGAAACTAAATTTGGATGTTTCTACAAAGTGGAACTCCACATTTGATGCTTGAAAGGGCTATGTTTTATCGAAAAGTTTTTTCTCATTTGAAATCATATGATATCAATTATGCTAATGCTCCAACCGAATAAGAATGGGTGAAGATTAAAAAAAATTTTAAGTTTTTGAAAGTTTTCTATGACATGACCAACATTTTCTCAAGAACTCAATATCCAACTTCAAATTTATATTTTCACGGGGTTTGGAAAGTTGAATTGTGTTTGAGGTTGAAAGGCAGAGATGAATTTTTGAAGGAAATGCCCAAGTCTATGTTAAGTAAATTTGACAAATATTGGAAAGAATATAACATTATTTTGGCAATTGTTGTTGTTCTACATCCTCGTTTCAAATTGAAATTTGTGAAGCTTGTATATAAGAAGTTGTATAATGTGGAAGATGCAATAAATCACACAATTCTTGTTAAAGAAACATTGAGGAACTTATTTGCCGATTATATGAAGAGTAGTAATGTCATGCCTAATGTGAAATCAATTATTGAAACTATGGCCACTAGTAATACAATGCTTGATGAGGAGTTTGATCCAATTGAGGTAATTATAATTTGAAATATTTATTTTTAAGAAAATAAAAATATAAAGTTTTCATATATTAGATATTTAATCAATATCTAACTTATTTGCCGATTATATGATATTGCATTCTTATTATTGTAGGAATTTGATAATTTTTAAAGTCAAGTCTATGCTATTTATGAAAAAAATCCCAATTAGACTTGTATTTAGAGAAAACAAGCATTGATTGAAAAAGCTATATTGATATCTTAGGATTTTAGAGATTGAATGAGTCTCGCTTTCTTGAGTTATCAAGGATGGCTTGTGATGTTTTTACAATTCCAGTTTCTACAGTTGCTTCAGAAGTTGCATTTAGTGGTGGAGGTAGAATTTTAGAGCAATATCACAAGTCCCTTCTTCCAGAAAATGTTGAAGCTCTTATTAGTTTTAAAAAGTTCTGATTAACTTATTCTTTTGTTTGTTTTTGATGTAGATAAAATCTCTCCTAACCCACTCCCAAAATCCTCATTTTTTGATGACTGAATTCAGGAAGAATCAACACCCATTCTACCACAGATCTGCTCACAGTTGCAACCATCTTCTCCATGCTACAAGCCTTGTCTTCAAAAGTCCTGTTCCTTTCCTTCCATATGTTCCAGCATATTGCAAATGGGATACAACTCCATAGTAACATTGCCTTCTTGCACCTAAACAGCCTAGGCCTTGTTGAAAAAATCTCAGCTGTTGTGGTTGGGTGAAATCCAGAGACCCTAAACATGGAAGTAAACACATTCCACAAGAATCTTGAGAAGTCGCATGAGATGAATAGGTGAATCATGTTCTCCTCCTATTCCTTACAAAGGCAGCATCTGGAAGCCATGTTAAAGCCTCTGGATTTCAAGTGATCGGCTGTCAACATGCTGTCCATTGCTATCAGCCAAGCCAGAGCTTCCACTCTTGGAGGAACTGGGTTTCCCCAAATGCCCTTAATGTGATTCACATCTGAGATAGATCTGCTGAGAGCCAGATAACATCACTTTACTGTGAACTTGCCATTCTTGCACTCTTTCCACCAAAGCTTGTCTCTGAGCTGAATTCTAGGTTTTATACCCTCCAGTTTCTCCAAGAGAGAAATGCATTCTTCAACTTCTCTGTTCAATAAAGGCCTCCTGAATTTCGGACTCCAGATCAGCTGCTCTCCCCTCCTTTCATAGCAACCACTAATAGTGACTTTTACCTCTGTTAATCTATACAGTCTTTTAACCAGTTCAACTTTGCACTGCAAACAAGCAAAGCCTTACTTTTCTTTTTCATTGGGCTACACAATGGGGGGAAGGCCATAACCCCCCCAATTCTAGTGAAGGTGAGATTTGATCCCAAGTCTCCACTTCAACCAGTTGGAGACCTTACCAACTAGCCACTTGGAACCTAAAGCCCTACTGTTTGACTAATGATTAGGGGATATGTCATAATTGGAGTTTTGCCCAAATTAGACCTCTTTATTACTTCGGGTTTTTCTTTCCCATTTTTTTCCAGTTCCAAAGATAAGGAATATCATGATGGAAAATTTCCTGTAGCTCTGATAAAAAATTCCTTCAGCTCAAGATTTCCTCTCCCCTGGAAAAACAATGTAGAACTTGTTTATTAATAACTAAAATTTGAAACTAACGGAAAAAACTGACAGCAAGGAAAGACACTATGGAGGCATCACCAAGTTCTCCAATTGCTGGTAAAATGTTTGTGATCGTTGGTGCTGGAGGTGCTGGAAGAGCATTGGCCTTTGGTGCCAAAAGTACAGGAGCAAGGGTTATCATTTTTGACAGAAAATATGGTAAAAATACTAGAATGGCCTCTCTGGCTAGTTAAGCATGCTTCCTATCTTCTAATTTTCATCTATTAGTCATTTCTACCATTGTGATTTTATTTGAAAAGGAAGAGTGAAATCTCTAGCCTGCTCAGTCTTTGGGGAATCTCTTCCTTATGAAAATATTGCTAAATCCACCCAGAAAGAGGAGCAATCCTTGCAAATGCCACTTCATTGGGAATGCATCCAAACACAGATCGAATTCCCGTGGCCGAGGTTCTTCTTCTTTCTTTTATATCCAGAGTACAATATAGTGTATAATTGGTAAACCAAAACTAAATGCTCGTTTGCTTAAGTAGGAAACTATGGGAGTTTATGAGCTTGTCTCCGATGCTGTTTACACACCTAGAAAAATCCGACTGTTGAAAGAAGCAGAAGCTGCTGGAACCCACGTTGAGTGGAGTTGAGATGTTTGTTTGCCAGGCCATTGGTCAGTTCAATCTATTCCCAGGCGGAGAAGGTACTGAATTACTCCAGCTCACTTTCCAGTTCATAGTTCATACTAAGCCAGTCTTGGATATGCCTCCAACTTAACACTATTAGGACGATTCTAACAATCTAAACAAGAATGCACACTAGCTAACCAATTCAAACAACTTGAATGTCACCCCTCCTTAACATTCTAGCTTTTTGTTTTTGCAGCCCCAGAAGAGTTTATGCAAGAGATTGTTTTGACAATGTTCTGAGTTACTGCATCGAGAACCAAAAGTTTGTTTCAGGCAATATTTTTGTCACTTTATTATTGTGAATCTGTGATGCCTAAGAGTTTTGTAGGAGCATTATTGGCTTCTGAATAGTTCTGCCTAATAGAACTATAGAAGCTCAAAGTCTTATACATGTTCATGAGCATCTCTCGTTGGTAATTTGAAACATTCCTCTTGATGTTTCAGTTGAAGAAAAATGCATGGATGAGTAGTGATGATGCACAATCCGGCCGGTCTTAGCTGTCAACGATCTTGCCTCTGAACTGAGTGGCAGGGGACCTGAAACGGAGGGGGTGAAGAAGCTCCGGGGAGAACCCGGCGTAAGGGCTCCGAAGCTCAAGTTAGAATCCTTCAAAGGCAAGATAAGCCAGATAGCGCAAAGTTA